ATATAGGTTACAGTTAAGTGATGTAAATTTTTAAAAAAATTTTTGGGTACTGGGAATCCAACTTGGGTCCTTGCGCTTGCAAGGCAGGTCACGGAACCATTGAGCTAATTCCCCAGCCCAAGTGATATAAATTTAAACACTAATAAAAACCACACATACAAATCTTAACTATAAAATTTATTCCTTCAAAAAGGTTCATAATTTTTGCTTTCTCACTGCTGAGTAACCTAAACTCATTTTTTAAAAAATCCTGGGCTTATTCTTACTTATCCTCAGTCTCTTGTTTCTTTGCTCAAACAGCTCCTCAGAAAAGACCTTAACTACTCAATCTCAGTGCCTTTTCCTCTTGGCCATTGTTCTTCTACTTCCTGCTTATATCATCCCCTGGAAGTGGATTGTATATTTATGCATTTGTTTACTATCTTTGTCTTTAGAAAAGAAGCTATGTGGGCCAACTTGTTCCCTTCTATATCCCTGGTTCTTAAACTATCCCTGCATATTACAGAACCAATCAATGAAATGTTCTATGTGAAGAGAGCAACTTTGTGAGAAATCAACAGCAGCAAGAGCTTATCTGCTCACTTCTGTATCCTGTCCTCACCCCCAATTTTCACATCTGTACCTCAACATTCTCATCTTAATAAAAGATGTGAATTATTTTGATAAGGGTGGTAAAGGAGATAAGGGTGGTTGAACCTGATTCCTATTAGCTCAGACTGGGGAAGAGGAGATGGTAAATCCTGCCTTACTGGTTTTGATTGTGAGGGAGTGACAGGAAATCCAAGGGGTAAATTAAATTAAGGTGGATATAGGGCCCCAAAGATCAGTGGGGTCATTTCCAACCCTTCTCTGACTCCTACATAGAATCTGTCCTTACTTTCTCTTTAAGCAATTTTCTGTATCTAATTTTTAATCTCCATTTCTACAACTACTTCTTTACATCACACTTGTATGATTACAAATGCCACCTAATTCACTGTCTTCCAACATTCCCTTCCACCCACCTGTTCTGCACACAGGTATGGGATGAAAAACTAAAACTTCATGGCATTTCCGAGCTCAAGTATCTTTAATGGCTTCTTTACACGAGAGAGGAAACCTATCTATTCTCACATACTGTATTTATTTTACCAGCCCATCAACTTTAATATTCCTTAAGTTCCAGGAAAGCAGACTGTGCCTGTCTTGTTTGCTATTCTCAGTGCCAAGGAAAGTGGCTGTCAGAGGGTGCTCATAAGACAGTCATTTTTCTAATGTGTCTATTTTCACTCTACTCATCATGCACATTAGGACACTTCACTGTAGATACAATTTGTCTTTTCATGTGTACAATTTGCTTGTCCTGTCCAAAACTACAAGACTTTTTAGGACAGTTTCATAATAGTCTCTTATTTCCAAAATTTCTCTGTACTGCACTATTAGGTTTATACTTGCTGTATAAACAATTTGAGGTTTCATAATCTAGATCAGGAGGTATTTCATTATTGAAAAAATATAGGTTCACACAGTTATTGTAACTGGACAGTTTAAAGTAGCAAAAGAAAAATTAACATTCAAAATTTGAGCAAAAAGGGGCTAAATCTGGAGTATTTATAGGTCCTTGAAAGCAGACTATTAGATTTTAGCAAATTCTTGAGGAGCCCAGTTTGAAAGGTATTAAAAAAAAGATCTAAGTCTAAATTATGTGAACCAGAAAAAGATGACTTCTGTCTAGTGATCTGGAGATTATCTTATTAACATGCTTAAAGGGAATGAAAAGGATGGGGAGCTGTGGGCATGAACTTGATATGCTTTCATATTTCTTGAAATGCTAGACACTGTGAGTCAGTACTACATGGATCACTTTTTATGTAGATATCTTTTAATCTCTATTCTTAGGTTCTATGAACCTGTGAGCATTGCCAATTAATTAGAGCACTTATGATAGATATATGCAATTTATAATTAACCAGTTTGTAAAGTGTTTTGAAGATGGAAAATGCTAGCAAGTACTTGGAAATATATATATTAAGTCTTTGGTATGTAATCATGTTATTTAATAACTGGCTTTTAAAAAGGCATAGTACTTTATAGCTGACCAGAATTTCAGATCCTGAATCATTAATATTGCATGGTTTGAGTAAAACACTGGTCAAATGACCTTTTTCAGCTTATATAAATAAATGACTTGTGTCCAACTCTCTTACCTAGCCCTTCCTTACATTAATTCAGCCTTTCCTTGGTCTGTATAATTTTCATGCAATGGTTCCTTCCACTCTTGGTTATATCTGCTCTGTCCTCAGCTTTTTTCTTTCACCCATTTATTTATCATCTGAGGGTGTGTTGCATGAAAACCATTATTTATGGCCACCCTAAACTAAACCATGATCAATGAGCATAAACTATGTGCAATTAAGCCATGAGATGTGGTGGTAGTCACAAGTAGATGCATTTCCCACATGTACTATTACTAATTATTTCAATACTACCATGGTCTTATACTTCTATGCCCACTAATGGAACTTTATTTACATCTCTTGACAAATCTTGGTTCAGAAGAATTAAAACTCCATACAAATAATCCTGTTTACTATTCATACATAAGCAATTTTTAGAAGAGGCAACAAAGTTTTTGATTCTTTCCACTAACTCCTTTTGGGCTTCCTTATATCTTCAAGTGCTAGTACCTCTGCACTGATATTAGCTTACCAGGATCTTCATCAGTCTAGGAAAATATTCTCCATCCTTGCCCTATGACTTTCATCTTTCTTTACTCTTGCTTCAATCTAAACCTACCTTTCTAATTTCCTTGTGTGTCTTTATTGGTGAACTCTAAGCCATTTCTCTGCAAAATTGTGCATTAAATTTTTACTCTTCTTGGGCACTCCAACTGACAGTTTTTTCTTGCCTAACTCTTAATTCTTCCCATTGAAAAGCTTGATGTCTATAACTCTTTCCACAATTTTCCTACTATCTTATCTAATTACTTTTAATACTGAGGTTGTCCAGCACTTGGTTCTTAGCCTACTTCTTTGTCATTCTAAAACTTTACAGATTTATATCATCTTATGGCAGGCAAGGACTCACAAAGTTTATTTCCAGCTCAGATCTATCTCTTCTGTGGCCTGTATCTCACATACTGCCTGTGATGTCCAAATGGAACTTTGACTCCTATTACCTTTTCCACTTTCCATCCTATTTTACCCTTTACACGTTTTTAGAAACTGAGCCTCAAATGTAGGTAGGAATTATGTTGTCTCATTTAAATACCCAATTCCTGAGGTCTATCAATTCAAATCCAATTTACACAATTCTAAAATACTAGCTCAAATCCATCCTCTTTTCCTTATCACTCAGGCCACTTTAACTGTGGTTTGTCTGTCTGCTTCTACTCTGGATGCCCCATAATTCACCTCTCCCTCCGTAAGGTAATTAATGTGTCATTCCCATTGTACTTAAGAATTCAACCTCCTTAACACCTCCGGCTCTTCATCCCATTGAATCCAAAGGTCAGGCCCTTCTCCTTGCCTATTATGCTACAAACATGCAAATCTTTTTTCAATGTTTTTAATTTCTCAAATCACTAATTTTCTGCTTCTAGACCTCTGCACATGTTACTATCCCAGAATGCATTTTCCTCTCATACTGCACAGCTTACTTCTTTTCTTCTTATAATCTCTGGAAAGACCTTCCCTAATTTCTGTGCCTACAGCAGATTCCTTCCATGTTTTCTGTCTTGACCCCTCATTTGATTCTTTTACAGAATTACAACAGTTTCAATGTTGTTCCCCCTCCCCCTCCGGACCTATTGTAGCTCATTCACTAACATATCTATCCATTAAGGCCTAGTATAAAACAAATACCGAATAAATTCAGAAATGTCTTTAAAAGAAGTGGACTGTGTATAGGAATGTAGGCTTTGTGGAAGGCTAGAACAGGCTGACTTGGGTGACTGAAAGACTATGCCATAACTACCTACATTCATCCAGAATTTACTAAGAGTCCAATACTTGTCAGGTGTTGTGCTAGTTATTTGGTTCATATTGATGAGCAAATTGATAGAGTGGATAGACAGCATAAGCCCTGTCAACAGCATAGTAAATATCAAGGTCAAAACCACAAGAGTGTAATGAGAGCTCACAAAAGTACTCAAACTAGGTCGGGGTGTCTGACAACTGCTTTGCCTTAAGACTGTACCACAAAGAGGGAATAGTAGCAATAAAGGCCTCTAAGCACAAAGTACTAAGGATGAGGTGTTTGGATTTAAGGACAGATATTTAGGGTGAATTAAGAACCATGTTAGGATAGGATAGTTCTGAGACTAGGTTGAAGAGGTAAGCAGGATGGCTCTCTTGGATGTGATTCACTAATACTTCCAAATATGTCATTTCTCCACTTGCAATCTTCCTCATCATCCTTACTTTCTCTCAAAGATAATGCTTCTTCTATGAAACCCTAGGCTATATTAAGACATCCACATAACAACTTAAAATGTAATCTGGTCATCTGAGCTTTTTCCTCATAGAATAAAATCTCTTGGCTTACTCAGGTCAAGACTAAATATTTTATTAGTGTCTTGAAATTTAAGCAGTAAAGTGGTATTTATCCTATTAATTTTACCAAGTTGGAGCTTGACACTACCTAGAATTCCTACAAAACCTGAATTCTAACAGCTCTTTGAAATTATTCCCAATCCACCAATCATTGGAAAGGATTTTCATTACTAAACAGTCTACCAAGAAGTCAAGTCCCCATCTCAATTGTCTTTCCTTCTTTTCTAAACTCCACTCTACTGGGTCATTTTCTAGTGCATTTTCCTTTTTCTCTATGACCACAGCCAGACAGGGAATGATATTCTTTTCAATCCCCATGATTGAAGTCCTTCTATAGGCCCCTGATTTCTTTATTGTTTCCTCACTTTCAGTGTTGTTCAATTAAGAGTCAAGGGGGACCATCACTGAAAATCATTAGGTTGCAAGGAATAGAAACCACTCAAAGAAATTTAAACAAAACAGGGAATTTATTAGATGAATATACATGTTCTTGTTGGGATTGCAATAGCTGTAATGGGTCAATAGCTAGAACCACATTTTGCTAAAGGATAGAGCATGCTATAATTCTTGTATCCTGCATAAGGGGCTAGAATGTGGATTCACTTCTGCTTGCTTTTTGCTCCTTATAGTCCTTTATGCTGGCCTCAAATTTGTCAAGCACATGCTGGCAGACATTCATGAGCTCACTCAGGCCTCTCTGAAATGGCTCAACAGCTGGAAGAGTGCCTCGAGTCTGAATACGCAAATTAATTTTGCTCTCTGAAGGATGAGTCGTAGTGTAACCACAAAACTCCACTTCTGGATTCTTCATGATCATGTACCGCAGAGCATTTCCTAGGGTATGGTCCTCCTCGTGCAATACAAATGTCACACAGTGTCTATCTGTTCCAGCTGCCTGGACCATTTCCAAGGCTGTCTTCCTCTCGCCTTCAGCCATTGAGGTCTTCAGTCCAGATATTTTTCTACACACATATTTTTTATAAAAATGAGATTATACTGAATAGTTTTGTGACTAGCTTTTTTTCATTTACTATACTGCAATTCCACCCCAGTCACAAAGAACTATCACCCTCTCATTTTCCTGTCTCCATTACTTTTACCCATAAATCACTTATGGCTCCAGTTTCTCCTTACTCCACTTGACCATCCACATTTCCCACAACAGGAGTCTTCTTAGCAAAACACAAACTTAAATGTATGCAAAAATACTGTTTTGGTAGTACAAGAAAGGGATAGGATTAAGGTAGGACCCTCTGCAAGATGAAAAGTGTTTTGAAAGGCGTGGAAAAACAGTTTGTTTTAATATAAAAATAGAAATTACAGACCAATCAACGTGCAGGGCCCAACTATGGCTTCCATTTGCAAGAGGTAAGGAAGGTAGGAAGTGGAAGGTGTGAAACGAGTCTAGCAGGAGGGAGGAAACTTAACGCTTAGAGCTTTAAGAGCAGTCTGCACAGAGAAGATGGAGAGCAGTAGTTACAGGGTCTTCAGCCTGACTCCACACGTTAGCACCAATCCTCAGGCACCGGGGCCTGGTCGTGACTTCACACGGTGCAATTCTAATGGGGGTGGGCAGTCTGGGACTTGACTCTGGTCTCCCAACTTGTCTTCCATGTAAACACATTCATGTCTCCACTGCCCCTCTTCCCAAACAGGCCCCGGCCACCTATCTTTCCTCCTCTCCTCTCAAGGCTCCGAGTTAGGCCCCTGCCAGGCCCGGCCGCGTGCCCCTCGGCCACTCGCTCCCCTGGCCCGGCGCAGCCCGACCGCCCAGCTCCACCCGTCTCCTCCGCCGTTACCTCTCCAGCTCCTGGTCCTCTTCCATCGCGGAGCAGCTTCCGGGATCCTTAAACAATGCTGGCAGAACACAGGATCTGTCCCATATCGCGAAACGCGCGAGCAAAGCAGGAAGGAACCACCGACGGAAGAAGCGGGGCGGAGCCGCAATGGCGCCGCAAGGCCCGGAGGAGGGGCGGGGTGTCAAGGCCCCGCCCCTGAGTCCGCCCCCAAGCGAGGCAGGGTAGCGCGACTGCGCTCTCACCTGGCGCTGCCCGCAAACTCACCTGAAGCTGCAGAGTGCTACACCTGGGCCCCACCCGAGGCCCGGCCAGGCCTGCGTGTGCCTGAGCTGTGTCTTCCCCACCCAAGTGATAGCGACTGGAGCGGGACTCACCTGTTCTAGTCACTGCCCTTCTCGGGGCCAGGGTCAGGCCTTTTTTCGACTTACAGCCAGACCCGTTGGGGGCTGAGCTGTTCTGAGCGGGCCTTCCCCAGGATCCTCGTCTTCACCGGTCTTTCACCGTGGGACACCTGGGTTAGGCTGTACTTGATGAAAACTCCTCAAAAAGGGAAGGGGTAACTTGCGAAGAAATGAATTTCATATAGAACAGTAGAGTTTAATAAGGCGGTATTTATCTCACTAGGTTTTCGCAGCTACACATCTCAAGTGGATCCAAAAACAGGAGTCTTTTTCTCTCGGGAGACTGAACGATGGGAAGAAACCCACCACTTTCTTTCCTAGGATACTCCGCACTCGTGGAGTGCGCCTCCCCCTCAGTGGACTTTCTTCCCTTTTCCCTTTGGCCGCTTGCATCTCATCGGGGGTTAGGGGTCCGGGGTCTCATTTGTTCCTGGCTCCTGCCCCAAGCCTTCAGGTGTTCCTCCTCTGCGATCGCCGTTCTCCGCCCTCCTGACCCCGGCCGGTCCTGGCCCTGCCCCGCTGTCCTCCATCCCAACACACCTACACTGCTGGGTTCCTGCGCCACCTGTTCTCCCCCACCCATTCTGAGACGTTTCCTCCCCGCCCAGCTGTTCCACACTCCTAGCGGCGGCCGCGAGTGCGCACCGAGACTTCTCTGGCGTGTCCTGCAGGGGAATCAGGCGAGCAGTGGGGACAGCCCAGAGCTGATGGGGGAGGGCAGGAGGCGCGGGGCGGAGTGGGCTCACTCTAACCTGGGAGCGACGGTCCGTCCTGGCCCGCCCTCTGAGCTCTAGGATAGGTGAGACAGGCCTCTGGCCCGCCCCTTTCCCACCCTGCGCCGCCTCCTATTGGCCCAGGTGCGTGTCGGGTTGGGCCGCTGGGCCCGGGCGTTCGCCCCCGGGAAGACAGCAGGGGCGGTTGAGAAGTGAAGTCTTGGCCGGAGTTTG